GTCCAACTTAGCGGCTTCTACAGTAGACGTCTTTCAGCTCTCCCACCCATGGCCGCACGCTTCCCATACACAGCTCCAGCCTGTAACTCGAAGCCAACAAGCCGTAAATAAATTCTGACGCCTATGATAAAGCCTACTTAACCCTTACGCCCACATAAGGCTCAAACATCCTGCCATCCCTGAACCCTACCTAATAACCCCTACAGTAGTCGCCTTAAAAAAACCCTTGTACCCTCAACCCAAAGGGTAGTTTCCCAAAATAAGGCGGACCCCAATATAGACCCCAAAATATTACAATCCTTATAATGGGGACCCCCAAAAAGGTACCCCTAATTTTGGGAAACTACCAAAGCCCTTCAACCTCTCTAGGAAGCCCAGGCGCCCCCATTGTGACTAGGCAGGCCCAAGGCAAAGTTGGCCGTCAGTCGGTCATTTCCGATACCCTCCTCAGTTGACTTTTGGGTTTTGGGGTGTTGGTGTTTAGGATTAAGGTTTTTTGGGGCTGGGGTTTTGGGGTTTAGGATGTCGGGTGCTTGGGGGGTTGGTCTTTGGGCTTTGGGGTTTGGGGAAATGTTTTCTTGCAGATGTTCATGCGGGCTTCAGAGGCTTTGTGAGACTTCTTGGGCTTGCCAACGGATTTCTTAAGGGGATGTAAACAATCGAACGCTTGTCAAAGCTTTATGAGGTTCTATTCTCGAACTGTGCAGCGCCTTTGTTGCGAATATTGCTGATTCTTAGTGACAGCCACGCTCGTGGCGACGGCAACAAGCAGAACCTTCTTGTACGATGGCTAGGATTTGTACTATCTCACCCCTTGAAACTACTTCAAATTGTAATGAATTCACGAGTGCTTAGCTGATGTGACCTGTGCTTGCGACTTTGTACAAACAGGGGTGCCGTGTGGACGAACCTAGGGGTACCACTATGGGCTATTAGACCTTAAGGGTACCTTAATCTACCCTTAATAGGGTCCTAATAGGGGATTTTAAGGTCTAATAGCCCATAGTGGTATGTATGTGTAGAGAAGCTCCGCTTAAGCCCTACACCCTGAATGGGTGTTTGGGGTTTAGGGGGTTCCGTAAAGACTTAACTCCTTACTCTAAGGACTCCCAAACAAGGGTCTCCTTGGAAACTCTATACCCCAGATATCCCTATACAACCCCTACATCCCCTTCAGATGGGCCCTTGATGTTGGCAAACCTTCCCATCATTTGAATAGCCCAGCAGCTGCAATCGTATCTGTGCGGTGTCGACGTATGGAGCGCTCCTGCCAACAAACAAAATATGAGGAAAAGCAGGAACTGCGGCCCCAATATCAACCCGAAAAGACACGATAAGCTTTAATACGGGGACCCCCAAATGACCCCGACATGAATGTTTCTCACAAACATGTCCACTAAGCTGTGCAGGGACTGTTGGAGACCAAAAGCCTGACTGAGCCCTAGACTCAAAGTTCAAACCTTAAACTCTAAAGCCTCAACCCTGAACTCTATATCCTCAACACCCTAACCCTAAACCCTAAACCCTAAAACCCTGAAACCCTAAACCCTAAACCCTAAATCCAAACAGAGGAATAAACTCACACAGTGACTGCATCAGCTCCTGCTGTTCCGGGGCGTAGAGAACCCCTTTTGCCTAGGCTTTTCGGGCAGTCTGGACTTCGGGATACACTTGGCAGTGAGTTTGGGGCTTCGAGGTAGGGTCTATAAGGTTTGGGATCCTTAGGGCTTTAGGGTTTCGGATCCTTAGGGCTTACGATTTAGGGGGGTTTAGTGTTTGTGGTGTGAGGATTAGGGTTTAGGGTTTGGGGTTTGAGGATTAGGCCAAAGTCTGCAAGTCAGCGGTTTGGATTTCTCGGTCCGGGGAAATGTATGACACAGCTAGTTCACCTTCGCCTTAACACCATCCTAAAAAAATGCAACACTACTTCAGAAGACACGCTTAGAAGCATCCCTATGAGGGATCTCGAAGTTTGTTTTCTGTGCTTCCCATGAGCTATAGTCCAAACTCCTAGCATCCCTCTTCAGAACCCCTATAATACTCCCCTAATAATCTCCTATATAACCCCCTCTACGGCGTTTAGACTACAGCTCCTATTAGCCCCATGGCCCGAGCTCAGCTTCCCAAGCATACTTGGATGTATAGGGCTTCGGGTTCAGGGCTTTCGGTTGAGGATTTAGGTTTTAGGGTACTTATAGCTGGGTTAGTGGTATCAACTTGGATTGCAAGTGGTTGTGATTCTAGTTATCCTACTCATCACCGCCATTCTAACTACCCATGAATCTGACAGGAGCCTGCGCTGCCCAGAACATGCAGCTTCCTCATTGAAAGCCACTGCTACAGACCCAACTCTGGGATCATTATAGGGATGCTATGGGAATTCCACCTCGACTGTCCTACGCATCCATGAACTCATTCCTTCATCCCCTACTAACTAAAAAGGCAACAACTCAACTTGCTACCTGAAACCGTCGACCCCACTCTAGACGCGTGTCTTTGTCTACCATTCAGCGGCTCACTCCATCATCAGGCTCAGAACGCCGAACCAGAAAGCTTACACCGCAAACTCGGAACCTCAATCTCAAACCTCAAACCAGCAAAGCCAATCTTTAACTGAGGGGGCGGGGGGGGCAGGGCCAAAATGTGTGCTTCCACCTCTGGGGTACGCCTGGCCTTAAACCGTGGCCAAGTGGCAACCTTGTAGTAGAGAGAGGAGCCCGAGACATCCTGGTTCCCAAAGGGTCCATGTGGTATATAAGATATACTTGGGCCCCAGGAGCAGCAATATGGGAACCCGTTTGGGCCCTAAGTATATGCAATATACCTGCATGGACTCTTTGGGATCTCCAGTGGAAGAAATGAGAGGCAGAAAAGGGTTAAGAGCTAGCTTAAACTGGAATCCTGGGTGACCACACAAGCATCTTGCTACGTGGTTCAGGGTTTAGAGCTTTGGGCTTAAAAAGCCCTATGACGCGGGACTCCTAGATTGAGGCTTCAGGGCTTAGATTCTACATGACTTCACTTTAAAATCCACCGGCGACTTGCGTAAGACCTGATATGTCCCTTGCTGGAGATACCCAATTACAGTCTCCCTTAAGTAGATAGAATATGGCTTTGGGTATATTACAACAAGATCCCTATATACCCCATATTCTATCTACTTAAGGGGGACTATATCCTGCAACCCTTTTTCAACCCTGAGGCCCCCCAAGTGCGTGGACTCGTAAACCTTGCGGTTCATGTTGTGGGTTGCTGCCCGCCCGCCCGCCCGCCCTTCTAGTCTACCCCCCTCAACTTCAGAGCGCCATGTCACTGCATGGTTTGGTTTCTTGGGTTTCAGGCTTAAGCTTCAGCAGTTGAGGTCTCAGGTTTAGGAGACCTGGCTTAAGGCTTATGAGTTTAGAACTGAGATTCAAGGATCTCAGCTCAGGGCATGCGAACAAAACAAAACCTTGCTGTCCACTTTGACCAAGCATCGGCCAAACAGATCCTGACGTCCGGCTTCCTCTCCTTCAAATATCCTGGGCCCCATTATATAGGAGTACGATGAATATAGGGATTAGGAATATTGGAGATATAGAGTTTACCGTTGCGGGTTTCATATGGAATCTCAAAAAGTGATATACAGGGTACTATAAGACTTTCATGGGGAGAAGTCCAGAATAATGACAAGAAGGGTTTTAGGGGCGGGTGGGGATGTTGTCGAAACTATGAGTACGCTATGTATTGCGGGCCCTCATGATATCATGGGGTGAAGGGGTCGAGGCTGGAGAAAAGAGAGCTAGAGCTTACCCTTGCTGGCAGTATGGTGGTATGCTGGATGCTAAAGTTTGAGGATCACGAAAGGTTCAATAACATGACAAGGAAGAACTTGTCTAGCTTGCTCGTGCAACCTGTTGTGCCAGCAAGCTCACGACAAGTGTGCTCAGAATGAGAAGTTCGTGCTGCTAGGGCCCCACAACAGCTCTAAAGCACCACAAGCCTGAAGGACGTGAAACTAAAAGAGCGCACTAACGTTCACCTTTCAACACCCGAACATCAAAGCCCTTAATGTGGATGCAGGAAATCTTGCACCCCTTAGGATGCTGCCCGTACCGTACCTCCTGGCGTCTAAGGCATACAGGGTAGTGCAAGCTTCCCTCCACCCACGTAAACTACGTAAACTCTACACCCTGAACCCTCAACCCTAAACTCTGAATCGCAAACCCTGAACCGCAAACCCTCAACCCTCGACTCCAAGCCCTGCACTCTAAGCTCGAGCACCTCCATCTCAACCCCTGCCTACCTAATGTAAATCCAAGGGGTACATTCCTAGGGCAACACCTTAACACAAGCCACTGAGCCATACATCGACATCCCAATTGCCTTCTGCAATAATCCTGAAATACTCGGGTATATGGTATATGGGCTAATGTTATGGGTATAAAGGAATGGCGAGATATGGCCTATCAGCATGGGCATTTCTCAACCTGATCCCCAGATCAGCCTCAACAAGCACCCTCATCATCCCCTTGCACGCCCTCTATACCCCTGAGGTCCAAGGACCCCCTATCCCAAACACTGAAGCCAGAGCACTTAAGCCCCAAACCCTAAACCCTTGCGCTCCCAGTCGCTGCCCACGCCGGCTAGAGTGCCCCCAGTGCCGGCGCTCATGACGAAGGCATCCAGGGAGCCTCCGTTTGGGGTTTAACAAGCAAGCAAGAACAAGGTTTGTGAGTCCATGCTTGAAGCCAGGGAACTCTAGGAAGGCACATGAGCTATAGTCTAAACTCCTCGTACCCCCCTTAATAACCCCTATACTACTCCCCTATACAATCCCCTATATAGCCCCCCCTTTAAGGAGTTTAGACTATAGCTCACATGGGGGTTGAATGTGACATGGAATCTGTAGAGTTGGCAGTGGCATTCTGGGGACATATCAACAAATAACAAGCTCCTCCTGCAGACAATGACTGCAAACTTACCCTGAGTTACCATAGTGATGAATCCCTCTATTCTAATCATACATCCATAGTATGGTAGCTTAACTTACTTTCCTTAACAGAAGCCCAGGTGACCCAGGAGCCTTCGCACTGCCCCCACAGCTCTGGTCCAGTACCCTCATAGTGAGCACGGTAGTTTGCAGGGCTCTCGAACTGGTCAGCAAACAGCGCGGCGCCCTCCCCCTCCTCTGCATTCAGCCGCTCCGCGTGCCGCCGTGCCACATTGACATAGTGCTCGGGGCTGGAGATGCTTGCAGGCCGCACCAGCTGCACGGTGGCGCCGAACCGCTGCAGCAGCTCTGCTTTCTCAGAGGCCTGGTCGTCGGGTAAAACCACGTGCACTCGGTAACCGCGAGCAGCCGCGGCCAGGCAAAGTGAAATCCCTGTACTCCCAGAGGTGCCCTCAACCACCGTACCGTTTGGGCGGAGCAGCGCAGCAGCTGCAGCCTCATCCAGAATCTGCCGCGCAACGCGGTCCTTCTGGCAGCCACCTGGGCTTAGGAACTCGGCTTTGCCCAGGATGCGGCATCCGGTCCCTTGCGAAAGGCATCGGAGCTCTACCAGCTTGGTATTCCCAACCAGCCCAGCAAATCCAGGCCGCAAAGCTTGTGCGGGGCTCTGAGGCACGGAGTTGGGTTCCGTGGCCTCTGCAGGACGTGCAGGAGGCGTGGCAGATTGACTGTACCTGCTTCCGTCGGAGCTGTCAGGTGCACCTACCATGCTGGCCTCCAGGTGGTTCCGGAGCTTGGAGAGTGTCCTGATGCTTTTATCTGCGCACAAACAAAGCCCTTGTTTCTCTCAGACATGCGTGGCATGTACGAAACACCATAAATTCTAAGAAGCCGAAACAAGTCTCCGCTGGACTGCCGTGCAAGTGGTGTCGTCCCGGTCAAGGGCTTCAAGAACTGAAGGTGGCAATGACCCAGTGACCTTGCACTCGGCATGGTGCTGCTGTGCCTCCTGCGCGGTCATCAGCACAAGATTGCCCAGGTCCGGAGGTTTTCTGTGGTCCCACCGTGTCAGCGCCATGTCAGAATGCTTTGCTCCAGTGACCCGGCTCAAGGCGCTGCGAGCTCGCCAGATGTAGTCTGCCACGCAGCCCACTCCGTAGAGGTCTGGCAGCTCGGCACCTGGCTCCTGGCGCTCCAAGTTGTGGCGCAACTTCTTCCAGAAATTCATGCCGCAGGGGTCCGCTTGCTGCGGAACCCGCCCGCCTGTGAGGCGCAAGATGGCAGTGGCAGCGGCGGTCACGCCGAGCTGAAGTCGGTGTTCGATCCCAACATCTCCCTGCAAGCCTTTGGCCCAAAGACCGCCCTCCTGGGAGTGGACCACGTCGATACCGCTGAAAGCATCCTCATCAGTTGCCCCTAGCTGCTGGACTAAGCGCTGCCGAAGTGCAGCCGTGGCCGGCGATGCCCAGACTTCGCATAGCTTGGCCACGGTGACGCGCGAAGGGTCTGCTGCACACAGGGTGGGACATGCTGCCACGGAGATCACCGGTATTCGGTGTTGCAAAGCGAACCTCATCAGCATCTCTTTCCCTGCACTTCCGCCCATGCAGTCCAAGAACATGTCAGGAAGCCGCCCATCGTCACCAGCGCCTAGCAGTTGAACCTCTTGGCCAGACACCAGGTGTTGATGCCGGACCTCGACTCTCAGATGCGGCAGCACCTCCTGCATCAGCTCTGCGCACACATCCACCTTTAGCCGTCCATGGTCCGCAGCTCGGGCCAAAGCATGGCGGGTGCTGTTGCTTGTTCGGCTCCCATCCACCAAGCGCAGTCGCGCAACGCCGGCTCGGACCAAGAGTATTGCGGCAGCACTGCCAACGGCTCCCAAGCCCACAATGGCCAGGAAGGAGTTGCAGAGCTTCTTGTGATTCTCCTTTTCGGCACGTTTAGGCACAAGGTATTGTTCTCAAGAGTCCCTCAGTTAGCAGTCCTCCCCAAGGAACGACGAGCTTCTTGAAAGCTGCTCCTCCAGCAGTGCCTGCTCTTCCTGGCAACGAACGGAAATCTTCCACACTCTGCCGGGAGACGTCCGTTTGTGTCTGGTACCCTCCCCTGAAACATACCATGGTCTCAAGGAAATACAATAACAACCAAAAAGCTTGCACAGCACCGCTCCAACTAAAATTGTCGCATTTACATCCTTCTACATAGCGGAGGAGGTGGGGTACCGAAAAACTCATTTTGAATGGCCTGGCTACTGGAGGAGTCATCACCCGAGAGTAGAGCCGTAATACATTACTTGTGCCGTTGGTGAAATGACGGAATATAATCCCTACTATTTGATTTGCTCTCTTATTCCCTACAAGCGACCAGTAAATTTTCTTGTGCCGGGATGCAGGACTTGAGGCCTTCTGCTAGTGGACGACTCTAGGCATGCGCATACCCAGTTGTGGTAAACAGTCATTACCCCAAAGCAAAACTAAACCTCAAACCCAGAAATCTAAACCCCCAAAACAAGGAGTTCCTTACCTAGCCCTTCCATCTACCCTCTGTATACCCCAAATAGGGACCATATTTAAAGGGTACAAGGAGGGTTCTGGTACAGACTTGACCTTCTGAAATCTCAACCCCAATATAACCCAGATATATACCCACTATTCTAGTTTCTGTTTTCTTTTCCATTATCCCTATATAACGCCTATACATCCCTATATACCCTATTATACTGTAGTAGTTTCCATTTTCTCTTCCATTATCCCTACAGACCTGACCTTGGAGCTACTGGTCCTCATCCATGAACCCTAATATAACCCTAATACAACCCCAATACAACTTCAAAATAGCTGGTCCTCATCCATGGCTGCGGAGCGCCCGGCAGCTTGCCGAGCAGGCGGGCAAAAGCTTTCGCCCCTGCCCTGCGGTGCACAGGTTTCAGGATTTGGGCGTGGCTTTCGTGGGCTGCTGTTGGGGGACTTTAGATTAAGTTACATAATATGGGTATATTCTAAATGATGCCGTTTCCTGATTCTAGTGACTTATATAATTTAACTTCTTTAACAGCAGCCCAGTTTAGGCTGTCAGGTTTGGGGCTTCCGATTTGGGGCTTTGGGTCTATAGGCTATAGGTTTAAGGTTTGAGTTTCAGGTGTTCGGGTTCTCAACTTAGGGGTTGGGCTCTAGGTTTTTTAGGGCACGTAAAGGGGAAGGGAAGATTGTGGGTTAGGATTCGGATTTGGGTTACCGTTTTGTGGAGTTGTGCATTTGAACTGTAACGTTGATAAAGATCAAGAAATAGATGCGACGTTTAAGTAGAGGGCCGAAAACACCGGCCCAAATGTTCCATAATGCCTTAGTGTCCTTATTTTAGGGAGCCCTCAAAGAGGAACCCCTAAGACATTTTTGAATGTCGACCCTCAAGGTGACTGCTGTCTACCCCAAGCAGACCCCAAGCACGCCAAGATCTCTATCAAGGGATCCTGCACAGTCTGATATGGGGGTTTCCCAAAATTAGGGGTACCTTTTTGGGGGTCCCTATAATAAGGACTATAGTATATTGGGGTCTATATTGGGGTACCTTAATTTTGGGAAACTACCATATACCTGGACCTGAAAAGTAGGTAGAATAATGGCCCAACATCCTTAGAAATAGCCCAACACACCATTATTCTACATACTTTTAGGGGTTCAGGTACGTACTCCTGGAATTACTGTATAAACTGCCTGAAAGCCTTTTTCCAACAAGCATTGTCACTCAAAGTGGTTTCTCAACATGAGGCCACTAGGATCCGAGGACAGATATTTTCGGGGGCTGCTTAAAGAGATGTTTGATCAACTGCCCCTTCTGACTCTAGCGCACAAGACCTGAGAAATCTCCTGCAAATCCGCACACCAAGCTTCACAATGCCTTCAGCGCTTAAGGTTGAGGATCTCAGGTTCAGGGGTCCAGGAATTAGGGTCTAGGATTCTGGTTTCAGGATTTCGCGTCTGGGGGGCTGGGCTTTACAATTGTTGGAGGGTGCGGGGCAGAGCGTAGGCTTACATCTTAAGGTTTTGGATTTAGGGTCGGAGGCTATGGTTTTAGGGCCCAGAACTTCTAGTGCCCCTTGAGTATAGATAGAAGATGGCTTTGGGTATATTATACTAAGATCACCATATACCCCATATTCTATCTACTTAAGGGGGACTATACTACATATTCCTATCACCCCAATAATATGCTATAGTAGCTTCCATTTTTTATATTACCCTATATTCTATCTACTTAGGGGGGGACTATATTCCTGAACCCTAAACCCCAAACCCTAAACCCTAAATCCTAAACCCTAAATCCAAACCCTAAACCCTAAATCCAAAACCTTAAACCCTAAATCCTAAACCCGAAACTCTAAATCCAAAACCTTAAACCCTAAATCCTAAATCCTAAATGCTAAACCCTAGACCCTAAACCCTAAATCCTGAACCCTAAACCCTAAATCCTAAA